GCATTGTTAATGTCCTCATTCAACCCTTCCTTCTTAAAAATTTCCGATGCCTCCTCCCTCTCTTCCTTCAACCCACTCATGTATCTAGAATCTAGCGAAGCCGCAATAGTGGGTGCTGCAATGGACAGCTCAGCAGCCTGCTGAACAGTCCATTTCCCAGTGCCTTTCATCCCAGTTTTATCCAAAATCTTATCTACCAAATGGCCATTTCCAGTCTGTTCATCCTCAACCCGGAAAATATCTGAAGTAATCTCAATCAAGAAACTCTCCAACTCCCCACGATTCCACTCAGTAAAAATCTCTGCCAATTCATCATTACTAAAACCACCAACGTTCTTCAAAACATCATAAGCCTCAGAAATCAGCTGCATATCACCATACTCAATCCCATTATGCACCATTTTCACAAAATTCCCGGACCCCCCTTCACCTATATAAGTGACACAAGGCCCATCATCCACCTGCGCCGCTACCTTATCCAAAATATGATGTATATTCAAATAAGCCGTATGTGATCCTCCAGGCATCAACGAGGGCCCATTCCGGGCCCCATCCTCACCACCCGAAACACCCATTCCTAAATACAGAAGCCCTTTTGTAGAGGCTTCCGACATACGCCTCTCTGTATTCTCGTACCACTCGTTACCTCCGTCGACAATCGTGTCTCCAGGATCCATGTGGGCCGATAAAGCGGCAATTGTCTGATCAACCGGAGTTCCGGCTTTGACTAGGATGATTATAGACCTGGGCTTTTTGATGGACAAAACGAATTCTTTAGGGCTGTACTGGCCGAAAAGCGGGAGCCCACCTTCCCGTTGGGCTCGATCCACAGTCTCATCGACCTTAGAGGTTGTCCGGTTGTAGACTGAAATGGGGAAGCCCTTCTCGGCTATGTTGAGGGCCAGGTTCTGACCCATTACTGCCAGGCCCGCCAGTCCAATCTGCGAAAGCGTAGCTGATTCCATTGATGTCGAGAACTGAAACAACTGTAAAATGGAGAGAGGGAAGGTTTCAGAAGTACAGTGAGAGAGACAGA